ACTTCTTTGCAGCTGAAGTTCAATTTTTAATTAGCTATGGTTTTTGCAAGCAATAGTGTCCAACGAAACCAGGAGAAAGAGAGGGAGGATCAAAGAAAAAGAAAATTCTTTGTACACTCAGTGTTTCCAACAATAAAACCCAACATGGCAAAAATCACCTCAGACACAAACGTTTATAAAGATACTACTTGTAAACAACAAACAACAACAAAACACCACCAACAACAAGGCTGCATTTCATAAAACTCACCGCAGTGGAGTGCCTGGCAGCTCACCTCTGTGGATGGGATCCTAACAGGTTTCCTAAACTGCCACCAGTTACAGTTTCCCTTAACTCTATTATCTGAGCCCTGAAACTGCAGCCTTTTGCAGCTGCGTGGGTAAGCAGTGCTCCATTCAGGTCTCGGGATTTGCCCCAAATATATAGGGGTCAGCTTAATAGTAAGCACAGGCACCAAGAGAGAGGAAAGGGAACCGTGCACACGGAAAGAAAACGGGACCCCGAGTGTGTCCGAGCTCATAGGGATGTAAACACATTTTCATTACTTTACAGCTGCCACGGTGGGAGAAACAAATCATAGGACCCACAGAACATTTATAAACCTCCTTGCTAAAGAATCTTTAAAAGTCTTACAGATTATCTTTTAGATGAGGAAAGACTAGGGAAAAGAGTTCTGAAATCACAGGAGGCAATATATTCTAAATACAGTAGTAATTTCTATTCTAGACACCAAGAAAGTCTAAAGTGTCCTTGAAAATGGCATTACATTTCATCTTAATTTTGAAATGACTTTTATTTAAAGACTGTTCCTTGTATTCACTAGGAAGGCGGAGTCTCCAGGATGTTACTTGAATTCCAGAGCTATTTATATTCCTATAATGTGAACTCTAAAGAAATAGGATTGAGGCAAGTGTGAGATGGGAACAGTGGTCCGGGGGGCGGGCAGGGAATCATCTTTCAGAAGAGATGCCTCCTACTAGATCTTGCACCATAGATGCATTCTTTCAAAAGAATGCTAGGGGGTCCGCACCCTGGCAACCCGACTCCAGAGCCCACACTCGGAACCACCACTATGAAAGAGAATCTGAATTCTGACGCTGGCATTCACCAGCCTTGTAATTCTGGGCCCATTACTAAACTTCTCTAAATCTCAGTTTTCTCTTCCTTTTAGGAGGGCAAAATTCTTACCCCCTCCACCTCACCCCCTTACAACTTCTCCCAAAACAGCTGAGTTGCATGTTCTTTCATCAGAGGCTACTCCCACCAAGCCAGAGTTCAACAGCAGCCCGGCCATGACATGAATTTTGACTGTGTCAAATTTAACCTCCAGCCGCTGACAAGGAGCTCATCTCCACAGTCCAGAATGGCCACTGGTGATGCTGGACATGTGTTTATCATGATTAGCTGCCTAGTATGGGAATGCCATTCCCTCAAAGAGCAGAACATACACGCTGGTTTAAAGGAGCCAAGACCACGCCCTCTTCATTTCACCAGAAATTTCCTCATAGTCCATCTCTGTCCAGTCTCCGCTCACTTCCAATCTACTCTCCATCAGGTTCCCTGTGACAACAGCCTCAGCCAATTGGTGGCTCTGGGAACGTCTTTGTGGGTGCTAGGTAACATTAGAAGAGAGGATATCTCTATGTGATTCTTTAGAGAAGCTAAAGCAAGCAGGCCAGTAAAAGGGGGAAAATTATAGTGAAGCAATTAAGTCACCTCTCTTTTCACAAATGATGAGATGACTAAAGGAACCGTTGTTATATTTACAAAGAATGGGCACCTATATAGTATTAGATTGAACTATATGAAATTGTCTAAATTTGACGACTCTTGGTCTACTGTAATAGCAATTCCATGTGATTCAACCTGTAGTTAACGTCCACACAACTAGTAATTAACTATGTGTCAGTAGTGACTACATTACCTTCTCTAATCATCACCACAAATCTATAAGGTAAAGGCTATAATTATGTTACAACTTTATGGAGGAGGAAAGGGAGGCTTGAGGAGGTTAAGAAAGGTGTTGAACACTTCACAGCCAGCAAGCTGCAGGGTGAGGGGGTCCACACCCTGGCAATCTGACTCCAGAGTCCACACTCTGAACCACCACCCTTTGTCAAGGAGAATGTGAATTCTGACGCTGGCATTCACTAGCTCTGTAACCCTGGGCCAATTACTAAACTTCTCCAAGCCTCAGTTTTCTCTTCTCCTGAAGTGGGACTGATGATAGAACTGATCTGCTGTGAGGGCGAATGGATGATGGAAGTTAAGCACTTAGCCCAGTGCCTGGCCCGCAGGGAAAGCTCCGATGTTCCCTAGTAGCTGTGGTGTGGGCTGGATGATCCTCTCCCACTTTCCCCAGGATCTGAGGATCTGAAGCGAGACAGCACAGTGTGTGTCCCCTTACCCTTTGGTGGCTTGGCAGCCACTCATGGATGGAAGGATAGTGGAGTCTGGAATCCTCAAGCCTGGAAATGATGCCCTTCATTCATGTCAGTGCATGTGACTTTGATACATAGGAAGTCCTTCACATTGTAGTGCCCACCAGCTACCCCTCCTCCTGCTAAGCTGCCTCCCACCTCCGTCAACCTGCCCTCAGCCCCACCTTCTATTTCCTGCTTGCTCTACTTCAGATTTTTATGAGAATCTGGAACGCTTGCACAAACATCTTAGACTTCTCCTTTATTACCTGCCTACCTAGCTTCCTTGGCAATCAGCTGTAGAGGGTTACACAATCCATGCTCAAAAAGCACTGATGATCTCATCTGGAAGCAGTGTTGTGGAACCCACAGTGCACTGGACCAGGACATGAGGGCTTGGCTTTCAACTTCTGGTTCTGCCACTGACCTGCTTAGTAACCTTGATCAGGTCACTTATTGTCTGAGCCTAATCCAAAACATCACTAAGTTTCTCCCCAGTACTAATCTCTGTGGTAAAGAGAAATAAAAGAACATACTAAATGAGTTTTTGGAGAAATATGGGGCTTTTATTTTTCCTTTTTTCTAAAAGCTAGTAGCTGATCTATTTAGGCACATTTGATTTTCTTCTGATTACCTTTTAAAAAACAAACCCAGCCCTAGCTGGTTTGGCTCAGTGGATAGAGCTGTCCAGTCTCCGCTCACTTCCAATCTACTCTCCATCAGGTTCCCTGTGACAACAGCCTCAGCCAATTGGTGGCTCTGGGAACGTCCTTGTGGGTGCTAGGTAACATTAGAAGAGAGGATATCTCTATGTGATTCTTTAGAGAAGCTAAAGCAAGCAGGCCAGTAAAAGGGGGAAAATTATAGTGAAGCAATTAAGTCACCTCTCTTTTCACAAATGATGAGATGACTAAAGGAACCGTTGTTATATTTACAAAGAATGGGCACCTATATAGTATTAGATTGAACTATATGAAATTGTCTAAATTTGACGACTCTTGGTCTACTGTAATAGCAATTCCATGTGATTCAACCTGTAGTTAACGTCCACACAACTAGTAATTAACTATGTGTCAGTAGTGACTACATTACCTTCTCTAATCATCACCACAAATCTATAAGGTAAAGGCTATAATTATGTTACAACTTTATGGAGGAGGAAAGGGAGGCTTGAGGAGGTCAAGAAAGGCGTTGAACACTTCACAGCCAGCAAGCTGCAGGGCGAGGGGGTCCACACCCTGGCAATCTGACTCCAGAGTCCACACTCTGAACCACCACCCTTTGTCAAGGAGAATGTGAATTCTGACGCTGGCATTCACTAGCTCTGTAACCCTGGGCCAATTACTAAACTTCTCCAAGCCTCAGTTTTCTCTTCTCCTGAAGTGGGACTGATGATAGAACTGATCTGCTGTGAGGGCGAATGGATGATGGAAGTTAAGCACTTAGCCCAGTGCCTGGCCCGCAGGGAAAGCTCCGATGTTCCCTAGTAGCTGTGGTGTGGGCTGGATGATCCTCTCCCACTTTCCCCAGGATCTGAGGATCTGAAGCGAGACAGCACAGTGTGTGTCCCCTTACCCTTTGGTGGCTTGGCAGCCACTCATGGATGGAAGGATAGTGGAGTCTGGAATCCTCAAGCCTGGAAATGATGCCCTTCATTCATGTCAGTGCATGTGACTTTGATACATAGGAAGTCCTTCACATTGCAGTGCCCACCAGCTACCCCTCCTCCTGCTAAGCTGCCTCCCACCCCTGTCAACCTGCCCTCAGCCCCACCTTCTATTTCCTGCTTGCTCTACTTCAGATTTTTATGAGAATCAGGAACGCTTGCACAAACATCTTAGACTTCTCCTTTATTACCTGCCTACCTAGCTTCCTTGGCAATCAGCTGTAGAGGGTTACACAATCCATGCTCAAAAAGCACTGATGATCTCATCTGGAAGCAGTGTTGTGGAACCCACAGTGCACTGGACCAGGACATGAGGGCTTGGCTTTCAACTTCTGGTTCTGCCACTGACCTGCTTAGTGACCTTGAGCAGGTCACTTATTGTCTGAGCCTAATCCAAAACATCACTAAGTTTCTCCCCAGTACTAATCTCTGTGGTAAAGAGAAATAAAAGAACATACTAAATGAGTTTTTGGAGAAATATGGGGCTTTTATTTTTCCTTTTTTCTAAAAGCTAGTAGCTGATCTATTTAGGCACATTTGATTTTCTTCTGATTACCTTTTAAAAAACAAACCCAGCCCTAGCTGGTTTGGCTCAGTGGATAGAGCGTCGGCCTATGGACTGAAGGGTACTGGGTTTGATTCTGGTCGGGGCACATGCCCGGGTTGTGGACTTGATCCCCAGTAAGGGGGCATGCAAGAGGCAGCCAATCAATGATTCTCATCATTGATGTTTCTATCTCTCTCTACCTCTCCTTTCCTCCCTGAAATCAATAAAAATATATGTAAAAAAAAACCAACCCCAAAACAATAAAAATGAAATTTTAAAAATTATGTTTTTATCTAAAAAACAAAACAAAAA